CGCACACACACGCGCTCACACACACATTCGCACACACACACACACACGCGCACACACTCACACTCACACGCGCACTCACACACACACACGCACGCATTCATACACACTCACACTCACATTCTCACATTCTCACACCCTCGCACTCTCACGCTCTCACACTCTCACACTGTCACACTCACTCTCAAACTCACGCTCGCACTCACTCTCGCACTCGCACTCACATGCACTCACGCTCACCTTCGCGCTCGCCCTTGCATTCACACACACTCGCACTCGCACTCACACTCGCACTCGCACTCACACACATACGCACACGCACACGCACACGCACATACGCGCACGCAGCTCCTGACGCGTATACAAGCACACTCACACACACGCAGACGCACACACACGCACGCGCGCACACACGCGCACACATACGCGCACACATACAGACGCACACACACACATACGCATTCACACACGCGCACACACACACACGCACACGCACGTGCACACACGCACGCGTACACACAGACGCACGCACAACGCACACACACACACACACACGCGTTCACACACCCATTTACACACAGCGCACACAGCACACAGCACACACAGCACACACCACACATAAACCACAGCATACACACACCTCCCCCCCCTCCCACACACACAATTGCGCACACACGCGCACACACACACACGCAAACACACACCCACACACCCACACACCTACACACCCACACACCCACACACATACACATGGACACACACCCACACACACCACACACAACGCACACAGCACACAACACACACAACACAAACAACACACAACACACACCACAACACGCACAGCACAACACACACACACACGCCCACACACGCACACGCGCCCACACACAGACACACACACACGCACACACACACACACCACACTCACAAAACACACAACACGCAACACGCAACACACAACTCACATTACACAACTCACACAACACAGCACACACTGACACGTACACACAGGCGCACACGTACACAAAGACGCAGAGACACAGACAGACACGCACACATACCCAGACACACATACCCACACACGCACAACGCACATCCACACACACACACCACACACAACGCACACAGCACACAACACACACACACACATCACAAACAACACACAAAACACAGCACAACACGCACAGCACAACACACACACACACACGCCCACACACTCACACGCGCCCACACACAGACACACACACGCACACACAACACACTCACAAAACAAGCAACACACAACACGCAACACACAACACACATTACACAACTCACACAACACAGCACACACTGACACGTACACATAGGCGCACAAGTACACAAAGACGCAGAGACACAGACAGACACGCACACATACCCAGACACACATACCCACACACGCGCACGCACACGCACACCACACACACCACACACACAACACACACAGAACACGCACAACACACAACACACAACACACAACACAGCACACAACACAACACACACAGACACACACAGGCACACAGACAGACACAGCCAAAGACACACAGACACACACACACACACGCACGCACGCACTCATTCACACGCACACCCACACACACACACGCATTCACACACGCACGCTCGCACACACACACACACGCACGCACGCACACACACACACACACCACACGCAACACACAACATGCATACACACCACACACAATACACACAATACTCACAACACCCAACACACATAACACAACACACACAGACACACACAGACACACACAGACACACACACACAGACACACACAGACACACATTCAGACACACACACACAGACACATACACACTCACACACACACAAGCACGCACGGACACATACACACGGACACACAAGCACACACACACACACGCACGCACGCACGCACGCACACACACACACATACACGCACACACACACACACGCACACGCACACGCACACACACACACACACGCACGCACACTCACACGCACACACACACACACACGCACACGCACACGCACACGCACACGCACACGCACACTCACATGCACAGACGCACACACGCACACACACACGCACACACCCACACCTACACCCACACGCACACGCACACGCACACGCACACGCACACGCACACGCACGCGCACGCAGTGTGCATGTGCGAATGCGTGTGCACACACACACACACACGCACGCACGCACGCACGCGCCCCGCCATCGCCGCCGCCGCGCTCCCTGAAGGCACAGAGAAGACCTGGGCGCCCCCCCCCGAGGGCGCCCGCCGAAGATCAGCGGGCGTCGCGCGTCGTGGCCAGGGCCGCTGCGTAGGCCCTTCTCGATGGGGCGGCGCAAGGGCGCATGGATGACCGCATGTCGCTCACCGCGGGGCGCGATGCCCCGAGCTGGGTGGCCCAGAGACTTCCCCGCTGGCGTCGGTGCTCCCCTGGCAGCACAGCGGCGGGGGCGGGGCCGAGGAGCACCTGCACTTCGGCATCCCGCCGTGGGACCCCCCGGTGCAGCGCCACCTCTCCGAGAGCGCGGTGCAGCCGGCCCTGGAGGCGAGCGATGTTGGTGCGCCTTGAGCGGCAGGGCTCGACCTAAACGCTCCTTTGGCGACTTCGTGGGTCGTTTTCGTTTTGACTTCGTTTTGCAGCGAAGGCGGAACGAAGACAGAACGAGGGAAAACGAAAACAACATGAAAGCGGAAAAAACTGTTTTGGTCCAGGCGGGACGAGGTTGTTTCAATGGGCCTTCCTCCGTTATACGAAGAAGGACAAAACATAAACATAAACTTTTGGCGCTACGCGCGGATTTCTTGGATCCGCGCTGGGCCCCCCCGGCGGCGCCTCCAGCGCCGCCCCTGGTGCGCTCCGCACGCCAGGGAGAGGGTCCAGCACAGATTCAATGAATTCGCGCGGAGCGCGAACAGTTTTTGTTTATGCCGTTTTTTTTTTTGTTTCTTACTGGTCTTTCTAGTTATTGCAAACTTTAGACAATAGAAAGCTATCGGACTTCCCCTACCTGCAGAACAGGGTTGCGCCCGAAACGTGTGGTTTGGAGAGGGCGGGCCCGAAACTGTAACCTAACATGCTACCCATGGTGATGGTAGCCTCGGCTTTCAACCTATCCTGGGTCCAGGCTGCTTCCTCCATCGCTGCATTGTGCGCTCGACGGGCTACCTATGGCATCTCCTTGTCACACTCGGGCACATTTTCGGGCGCGCTCGCGCTCCTGCCCGCAGCGCGTCTTCGTTTTAGCGTGCGTGTGTGCGTTTGCGTACGTGTGTGTGTGTGTGTGTGTGTGTGTGTGTGCGTGTGTGTGTGTGTGTGTGTGTGCGTGTGTGTGTGTGTGTGTCTGTGTGTGTGAATGTATGTGTGTGTTGTGTGAATTGTGTGTTGTTTGTATGTGTGTGTGTGCGTGCGTGCGTGTGTGTGTGTGTGTGTGTGTGTGTATGTGCGTGCGTGCGTGCGTGTGTGTGTGTGTGTGTTTTGGTTTGTATACGCATCAGGAATTGCGGGCGCCCCTTGAAGAACCCGCGTGCGGGTCGCGCGGGAGGAGGACCCGTTCTACGACCCGCTGAGCCGCGCCCTGCTCTGCCCTCCTCGCTCCCGCCCCGCGGCCCCTTGCCGCCACAATTCTGTGCGGCCCCCCTTGCGGTCCCACTCCTCGCCTTCTCGGGCCTGTCCTGCATCGTGTGCGTGCCTTGCCACCGCCACCGCCCCGTGCGGGCTCGGCGGTCCTGCTCCCTTACACCACGCCGGCGCGCGCGCGCGCTGGCGGTGACTTTCAAACGGCGTGCGGCTTGGCCCGGCCCGCGACGCTCAACACATTGTGCGCGCTTCTGTGTGTGTGTGTGTGAGTGTGAGTGTGCGTGTGCGTGCGCGCGTGTGTGTGTGTGTGTGTGTGAGTGTGTGAGTGTGTGTGTGTGTGCTCGTGTGTGTGTGTGAGTGTGTGCTCAGAGGAGGAAAATGCACACCGCAACCCCTCCCTCGTTTTCCTCTTTTTGGGCCTCTTGGGAGGATGCTCTCGTCGCCACCGCTGGATTCGCCTCGAAATTCTGGTCAGAACCGACACCCCGGGAGAGGTCCGGGGAGTAGCTGTACTGGTACTTTTTGGTTTCCCCCTGTGCGTGCGATCGTGTGTGTGTGTGTGTGTGTGTGTGTGTGTGTGTGTGTGTGTGGGGTGTGTTATCGGCTCTCGCTGGGGCTTCCCCTGCTTGCACGTGCTCCCACATGGGTGGATTAGTCGTCTTGGCAATGCCGTTGCTCGACTTTTCACCGCTGGCTGTAACCCACTAGCACGTCAGAGGACAAGTGCGTGTTCTTCGCTTGCTATGACCAGCTCGCGCGTCAGCCGAGCCCGAAACAACATTTCTGTGTTTCTTCTTTTAGATACGAAGCACAACGGCATCGACCTAAGCTAGCCGAAGTGGCGTGCCACTCCCGCGCGATGTTCTGACGCCAGTATTGGCGATGCGGCGTCGCTCTCATCCCTGATTTAGAGATCCTCGCGTGCACCAGCTGTTTGTGTCCGATGATCTCGATGATTCGTGCAGCGCTCCGATCGGATTTCTGGGGTCGGCGCTGGGCCCTCCTGGCGTCGCCTCTGGCGCCGCCCCTGGCGCGCGCGGGAGGGCGGGTCCAGCGCCGACCCAAGAAAGACATCTTGTTGTCTTCATGATCACGCGCGCCAGCTTTCCATTTGTGTGTGTTGCTCAGCCAATCATCACGAGCGGCGAACATATCCGTATCCGCGTCCTCGCGGCCTGGATTCGGGGGCGCGATCCCGCGGATATGCGGTCGAACGGATACGTTCCGCGCGGGGCATCCGCGAACAAATGCCCCATATCCGCGGGGTCGCGCCCTAGGGGCCTGGCCCGCGAGGCCGCGGGTGCGGATATGTTTTGCGCCAGCGATGCGAGCAAGAGTGATCTTTCGCCGGAGTGACCTCTGGTGCGGGCCCACTGGGCCTCCCGACCGTTGAATGCGTTGGGGCAGCAGCGGCCTTTCGCGCTCGGGTGTGTCCTCCCCGCGCCCCCCCCCTAACAAGAACCGCGCACCAGAGATCGCTCTTGCCGAGGGTCGCTCGCCTCAGACTCCTGCCTCCTCTTGCTGCCGACAACACCCCGCCCCCCCTCCCCGTCCCGAGGCCGGGGACCTTGTCGTGTGGAATTCCACCACGCTGCACTGCAGCTTCGTGGGCGGCCCAGACCGCTCCTGGCACCAGGGGGCTCCCATCTGCACCGGCTGGGACGGTCCTCCTCCCTCCCTGTCACGCCCGCGCCCATCAGTGTGGCACCTCTTCCCTCCGCCCCCTCCTCCCCCCCTGCCCCTTTCACCATCAGCTACCCTTGTTCCTTGCCCCCGCCGCCAGGTCCGCTGAGGGGGGGAGAAGGGCAAGAAAGATAAGCCCACCGGGCGCCACTGTCAGCCTCTCCCGTCGCGCGCCGCGCCGGGGCCTCTCGGGTGAGACTCCGAGGTGAACGAAAACCTGCCCCGCGTTCAGTAACAAGCTGTGGGCCCTTGCCGCCGCCGCCCGCCCCGCCCCGCCCAGCACGAAGCTCTGAGCTGGGGGAGAGCGCGTGCGCGGGTGGCCGCAGATTTGTCGACAGCAGTCGTGAGGGGGAATCTCCGCTGTCGAACCAGCCCACACCGAATCGATCGCCAGATGAAGCGTGCAGAGGATTCGAAGAAGAAAAAACGCCATAAACATACATTTTTGGCGCTCCACGCGGATTTCTTGGATCTGCGCTGGACCCCCCTCCCTGGCGCGCGGAGCGCGCCAGGGTCGGGTTTAGCCAGGACCCCAGGTAAGGGGACCCGTTTAGTAGTAGGGCCTTGGAGCCCCTAAATTGGCCAGAATCACTTAACCAGGTCTGCCGTAGCTGATGTTTTTTTCGGGCGACGTCAATTCCCGTTAGTGGAACGGGGCGGGGGGGGCGTCTCCCAGTACACATCACTAAACCTGTTCCCACTAAACCCAGTTCTGCTAACGCCCGACAGGGGCGGCGCCGGAGGCGCCGTGGGTGGGGCCCAGCGCGGATCCAAGAAATCCGCGTGGAGCGCCAACAATTTATGTTTATGCATTTTTTTCCTCTTCCAAGGAAGGCGGGCGTTGCTCCATGTAGGCGGCGACGACCGTCGGAGAACGCAAGCAGTATCATTGCCACACCGATCGGACGACCCTGCCAGCGTGGTACAGTTGAAGGAGCACCACGTTTTCGCACAGAGAGCGAATGAGCAGCACTCACATCTCAAAGCACGACGCGCGTGTCACTGGCATTGCATTCTTAAGTCCTCCCGGGATCAACGAGAGCACTCCCTTCCTTTCTTCGGCCTGGCCTCTCTCTCCAGCCTCTTCTGGGCAGCTGTCCCAGCCTCCTACTGTCAAGACGCTGGAGTAGCGACCACTGTGGGACTATGAGCTTAGGAGTGGCTCTGGTTTCCAGGCCCTTCCTTAGATCTACATCGGGGAACCGACTCGGCTCACCACGGCCAGGAAAGCTCCCTCGTTCCTTAATCATCGCTCCTTGTCGCAGCGCGATGGCAGGGCCTCCCGTTGGCCCAGAGTCTCTCCAGCAGCCTCTGGGTGGCTGGCCCGGCCTTCACAACCCAACATGATCACAAGGATGAGTTCGGGGAAGCTTGGCAGCGACACCGGGACGAGTTCGCGAACTGGGCGTCGGAGGCCAAGCTCGACATTTGAGACCTCATGGAAGGTCCTGACCCGCGCGGGCCCTGACAGTACTTCATCCTTACCCAGAAGTCTAAGCCTCCCAGACGGGGTTGCAGCAGATGGGGTCGCAGGAGCGCGCCGCATCGCCGATGCATCGCCGATGCGGCTCGATGTGAAGCCCGATTTCCTTCTCGTCGACCTCGCCGATGCGTCGCCGACGTCGACGATGCATCGCCGGTGCGCCCCCGATGTATCGCCGATGCATCGCCGATGCATCGCCGATGCGGCGCGATCCTCCGACCCCATCTGCTCCGACCCCATCTAGGAGGCCTCCAGTAAGGATGAGCAGCTGTTTAAGTGCACCCTGTCATCCTTGCGTTTTCGGCCCATCCGTAGCCTTACGTCGGGCGTGTCCCTCTACAGGAGGAATATTCAAAAATAGTTTACAAATAGTCAGGGGACGATTTTTGCTCGGGCGTCCCAGCACCCAGCATCCTGACGCGCAGCCTTCTGATCTTGTCGCAAAAGGATCTCCCCTAGTCTGGAGGGTTTCTCCGAAGGGCTTAGGCGACCCGCCTCCTCCTCCTCCTCCTCCTCCTCCTCCTCCCCTCCTCCTCCTCCTCCTCCCTCCTCCCTCTCCTCCCTCCTCCCTCCTCCCTCCTCCCTGCTCCCTCCTCCCTGCTCCCTCCTCCCCCCTCCTCCTCCTCCTCCTCCTCATCTTCCTCATCCTCTTCCTCCTCTTCTTCCTCCTCCTCGTCCTCGTCCTCCTCCTCCTCCTCTTCCTCCTCCTCCTCTCCTTCCTCTCTCCGCCTCCCCTCCTCCTCCTTCTCCGCCTCCTCCCATCCTCCTCCTCCTCCTCCTCCTCCTCCTCCTCCTCCTCCTCCTCCTCCTCCTCCTCCTCCTCCTCCTCCTCCTCCTCCTCCTCCCCTCCTCCTCCCCTCCTCCTCCTCCTCCTCCCCTCCTCCTCCTCCTCCTCCTCCCCTCCTCCTCCTCCTCCTCCTCCTCCTCCTCCTCCATCTCCTCCTCCTCCTCCTCCTCCTCCTCCTCCTCCTCCTCCTCCTCCTCCTCCTCCTCCTCCTCCTCCTCCTCCTCCTCCTCCTCCGTGGGTCGCCTACGGCCGTGGGGGAAACCGTGCACCCTGGTCATGGCACGAGGCTGCTCGCGCGAGGCCCGCCGGGCGCCTGCTCGGGTGCCGCACTCGGGAAGCTGCCCGGGGCCTGTCGGGATCACAGCGTCGAGGCCGGCGCCTGGACCGAGTCGAGGAAGGCAGGTCCTCGCATCGGCACAGACTCTCGAAGGTCGGCGCGGATCTCAGGCCGTCGGCGCTGGGCTCCCCGCCTCTCTGGCGCGCGAAGCGAGCCAGGGGCGGCTCTGCACGGAACGCAGGGGCGGCTCGGCAGCAGCGGGCCAAGGAGGCTCTTTTGCGAGGGGCAGCAGGAGGAGGGGGAGGAGGAAAGTTGGTTGTAGGGACGGAAGATGGCGGGGGAAGGACGGGCGGAGTAGGGGGAGGAAGGGCAGAGGGAAGGGCGGAAGGACGGAATGCAGGGAGGCAGGGAGGGAGGGAGGCAGGGAGGGAGGGATTAAGGAGGAGGAGAAGGAGGGGAAGGTGGAGGATGCGGATGGGGGAGCAGAGTTCGAAGAGTCGGATGATGGTGATGTTGGTGATGGTGTTGGGGAGGAGGAGGAGGAGGAGGAGGAGGAGGAGGAGGAGGAGGAGGAGGAGGAGGTGATGCTGCTGCTGCTGCTGCTGCTGCTGATGATGATGATGATGATGATGATGATGATGATGATGATGATGATGATGATGATGATGACGATCACGATTGCTATGAGTAGGCGGATGGACGGTGATGATGATTTTGATGTTGCTGCTGATGATGCTGCTGCTGATGATGATGTTGGTGATGATGATGATGATGCTGATGCTGCTGACGATCATGATGATGATGCTGCTGATGATGAGGATGATGATGGTGGTGACGGTGGCAAAGACGATGACGATGACGATGACGATGATGAGGACAATACGGACGATACTGCTGGTGATGGTGATGGTGATGGTGATGGTGATGGTGATGGTGATCGCGATGAAGGAGGTTGAGGAGGAGGATCATGATGGTTCGTATGATTCATACGATGGTGGTGGGTGTTGTTATGTGGGTGCTGATGTTGGCGTTGGTGTTGGTGGTGGCGATGGTGATGCTGATGAGGATGATGACGATGATGATGAGGAGGAGGAGAAGCATGAGGAGGCGCATGAGGAGGCGCATGAGGAGGAGGATGATAAGCATGAGGAGGAGGAGGAGGACGAGGACGAGGATAATGATGATGATGAGGAGGAGGAGCAGCAGCAGCAGGAACAGGAACAACAGGAAGATGCTGAGTGGGCAAAGAGCATGCAGTGGAGGATGATGGTGACGATGCCAGGGAGATGGATTGTGATTATGCTGCTGATGCTGATGCTGATGATAATGATGAACGTGATGATGAGGAGGTGGAGGGGGAGGATGATCAGGAGGACGAGAAGGAGGCTGCATGGGGGATGCGGGGATACCCTGTGCGAGTATCAGGATGCTTGAGATGATGATGCTGCTGATGATGATGGTGCCAATGATGGTGATGATGATGATGCTAATGCGTATGATGATGCTGATGATGATGATGATGGTGATGATGGTGATGGGGGGAGGAGGATGAGGAGGAGGAGGAGGAGGAGGAGGATCAGTGGGAGAATGGAGAGCAGCACATGCCAAGAGGTTAATGATGGAGGTGCGGCTGATAATGGTCACGATGGCGATGACGGGGCTGATGATAATGCTGCTGCTGCTGATTATGACGACAATGATGGTGATGCTCATGATGACGGCGAGTACGACCACAATTTTGAATACGGTGATGATGGTGATGACGATGCTGCTGCTGCTGATGATGATGATGGTGATTATGCCGATGATGATGTCGGTGATGATGATGATGCTGATGATGATGATGATGATGATGATGACGACGATCATGATGAGGATGTTGATGATGAGGAGGATACTGATGATGACGATGACGATGACGATGCTGATGCTGATGCTGATGATGAAGATGAGTATGAAACTGATGCTGACGATGATTGGTGATGGCGATGATGCTGAAGATGACGATGCTGATACTGATGATGATGATGATTAGGATGTGGATGCTGATGAGGATGAGGAGTATGGTGAGGATGAGGATAAGGATCATCAGGACGAGGATGATGGTGATACTGATGGTGATATTGAGTATTAGGGTGAGGATGAGGGTGAGGATTGTGAAGTATGGTTATGATGATGACGATGATGATGAGGATGCTGCTGCTCGGATGATGATGACTCAGATGATGACGATGACAATGATGATGCTGATGATGAGGATGATGATGAGGATGAGGATGAGGATTATGATGAGGATGATGATGATGTTGATGATGATCACGAGATGGTGATGAGGAGGAAGAGGGGGAGGAGGAAGTTGATGATGCTGATGATGATGACGATAGTGATGACGATTGCGATGATGATCATGCTGATGCTGATAATCTGGATGAGGCTGTGGATGAGGATTCTGATGAGGATGATGATGAGGATCATGAGGATGATGATGAGGATGATGATGATACTGATCATGACAATGATCATGATATGATGAGGAGGAGGGGGAGGAGGAGGTTGATGATGCTGATGATGATGAGGATGATTCTGATGACAACGGTGATGACTGATGATGATGGTGGTGGTGATGCTGCTGCTGATGATGAGGATGGTGGTGATGATGATGGTGATGATGATGGTTGGTGATGATGACGGCGGTGACCAGGTTGATGAGGCTACCAGGGTTCTTGTAATGGAGATGAGGAGGAGGGACCAGAGTAAGCCAAGGATATGCCAAGGATGCTCCATTACGCTTGCCCGTCCCGACTCCCCTCCTCACAAGTCCCTGTCAGCTTTCCTTTTCTCTGCGGGAAGAGCGCCCTTCACAGACAAGCATCCCTGGGGCATGCCGGTCAGTCGAGAGCCGCAGTGCGAAAAGGAGCTGGTCAGTCGACAGCCCCAATGCATCTATCTCAGTTAGAATTTCGAAAGATAGTAGTCCTAAGGCTCAGCGAGGTGTCCAGCGAGAGAACTGCTAGGGAAAATCAGTAACCCCCTATCCGTTTGGCAATTCAATGCGAGGCCTCAGCGAGAGCCCGATTTTGGAAAGGGGGCCCGCCCTCACCCGTGCACCTGCTTGACATTGCGAAGGCTTACGGCCAGTGCAGTCGACACTGAAGGGGGAACGACGACGACGACGACGACGGCGACGGCGACAACGACGGCGTTGACCACGACAACGCTGACGCTCTGGAGCCGAAAGCTTCTCCCAGGAAGGGGTGTTCCCCCCTGGGGGGGGTTACAAGTCATCACCCTTGGGATTCCCCCCCTCCCCAACCCCCCAGGGATCATCCCCGTCCTCCCCTGGCGGGGGAGGGATCAAAGGGAAGGGGCTTCTGTTCGACTCGGTTGCGACATGGCTCGATTTCCTTTTGGCTGGAACGCTTGAGGGGGAGCGGAGACAGCGACTACGACGACTCAAACGGAAAAGCGTCTCACACGCGGTAACAGGGGTTTCATTAATAGGGGAAGTCTCAACGGAGAGTCCCGTTTTGAAAAGGAGCCGTCTTCCATCCTGGTAACAGCTGCAACACACGTGCGCGGCGCTGAGGCGCCTTATTTTGAAAATGCGACCATCCATCCCATGCAAACTTTCAAGACGATTGTGCGTGGCGCTAGGGCGAGAGCTGCATTTTTTAAACGACTAGCTTTGCATCCGTGTAACGATACAAGTTTTTTAGCCGCAGGGCTTGTAAACTGTGAGGAAGTCCGAAACAGATCGATGGCTTGGCCTTCGGACACGTCTGGTAGGTCGACAGGGGGCGTTATTCATAAGAAAAAGGGATCGAGGACGGGGGGAGGAGGAGGAGAAGGAGGAGGAGGATGAGGAGAACGAGAAGGAAGAGGAGGAGGAGGAGGAGGAGGAGGAGGAGGAGGAGGAGGAGGAGGAGGAGGAGCAGAAGCTGGAGGAGCAGCAGGAGGAGGAGGAGGAAGAGGAGGAAGAAGATGAGGAAGAAGACAAGGAGGTGAAAGAGGAGAGAGAAGTAGCATGCGAAGGTGGAGGAGGAGGAAGAGGAGGAGGAGGCGGAGGAGGAGGAGGAGGACGAGGACGAGGGCACGAAAACGGGATGACGCCGCTACTCCGCCGTCGTCGTCGTCGTCGCCGCCGCCGCCGCCGCCGCCGTCGGACGAGACGACGAGGGCGACGGGGTCCTGTGGCCGGGCCTGCGCGGCGACGCTCGAGGTCGGCGCCGGCTTCGGCGCGCCGCGCGGGCGGAACCGCACGAGGAGGCCCCGCCCCTCCTCGGAGGAGGACGTCGACGGTTGACGCCAACGTCGACGAGGGCGACGGCGAGCACGACGACGATCGGGGTCGACACCGACATCGACGAGGGCGACGGCGAACACGACGATGATCGAGGCTCGAGTTCTTCGGACGTTTTTGCGTCGGTTTCCACGGGTTTTCCAGGTGTCTTCGTCGGTTTCCAGTTTTTTTGGGGGGTTAAAGTATTTAATTGTAGTAGGACTAATACTAATATCTCTCTCATATATCATTATGATTATTATTCGTATTCTTATTCTTCTTCTGATCATTATTATGCTGATGATGATGACGATGATGATGGTGGTGATGATGATGTGCTGATTATTTTTAGTAGTATTACTATCATTCGTATTA